CGCTTTCTACCGATGGGTTTGAGTAATGAAACCAAACAGACTTCAGACACTTTGCGATGTTTGAAGACAACAGTGCACTGACCGTCGGATGTGATGTCATCCACTCTCGCCTCGTAGAACCTAATGGGAACACATGTCCACAACTCGTTAGCGCACACATCAACACAAATACCAATACAAGACATACTGTCCGTCTTCACTGAGTGGTGCGAAACAGAGGTCTCCCGTCTCGAAGTGATGGCTGTCTTCGCCGCCGTCGGCGCCGCTGTTGGTGTCACCGCTGGGCTCAGCCTCGCCATCGCTGGCCATCAGTTGTTTCGTTAAAGCGATCACTTCCTGAGGAGACAGAAAAAGAGATAATTAGTGTCTAAATCATGGATGTCTTGTTGTAATTGGACGGACCAATAGGTCATCGTTGAGTTTGATGAGCTCCTGGTTGTCCGGATCGGTGAGGAGAGCGGACTGGACCTGTTGCAACTGGATCTGGTAATTTCGCAAATTAGCCGAACTATCACTCATTGCTATTGATTTAGTGTTAACTTAATTATCAATCAAAATACAATTTCAACGTTAATCACAATTAACACCACTTTTTCCAAACACTCATTCAATACATTCAATGTATTGTTTGTTTTGTTGTCTTAAATACAAAACACTGTTTCCCACACTTTTATACACGATATATATAAGCGAAAAGTGTGTATAAATTGGTGTCAATTGAAAACACAATTTGTTAATTGTTTACCAAAATTGAAATCAAGTGTTAAATTGTTTACAAAAAAGTGAGTAAACAGTGAATATTGTGTGTATTGTATGACTGAATGCCACAACTGGTGTATAGATGTCGCCAATCGTATCACACAATCACTCAATGCATTACAAACTCACAAACCATTCAAACCATTGAAAGCCGTATAAATTGTCAACTTTTTCTCAATGCATTCAACGCTAAATTCAAACTTTTTTTGAACACTTTTTTGTAACATTCAATCAAATGATTGATTGATTCAATAAATTGATTGTTTAAAAAACACAATAATATGAATAAATATTTACCATTCGCTATATTTTTGACACATTATATGCAAACAAAAGTTTTGTTGTCTTATAAATAGCAGCAAATGTTTCACTAATTTATTACTTTTAAATAGATTTTGAATTTCAGCCAATTTTATGCCTGTTTTTTGGTGTCCCGAAAATGTGTCTGTTTTTTGTGTTAAACATTTAATTGTGTTTTAATTATATGTTTAGATAATTAC